CTGGTGAGAGAAGGGGTATATAACACACATGGCATGCAATCAACGACATGTTCAACTCAACTGAGGTGTTGGATTTGTGCATTTTGTATTCTCAGAGACCCGTGAAGATCCGGGGTAGAATAGGTCTTCAGCAACCTATGCTTGCCGTAAAAGGTGACTATGCTTGTCGTAAGAGGAGACTAACAGGATCGGGTGGTCAGGCTCGCTGACTTGGTTTGAAGCACGTCATCGTGTCCCAATTGCGTTGATCGATGCTCATGGTGTCAATCCCTGGATTGTCTGGTCCAGACTCGATCATTTACAGACCGCCGCCACATAGCTTGAATATTGCTGAGTGCGGCGTTAAACAAAAAAAAGATGTATTGTCAGACTGCCAGATTGATATGTACAATCCAGGCAACGAAAGGTGGTTTTTTTAATGATTGTAATCACATTTTCTACAACTGCCATTTGACAAGTCTCCTTTGAGACAGATCTATTTATTCTGACCTCAATAAATATTGTGTACATCTGTTTTCTTGTCATTTCTGAATGAGAGTTTACTATTTGACAAGTGTAGGCCCGAGTTCACGGCATGCTTCCAGAACACCCTCCTTGTGTGGGCGCCATGTGGGTGCCCATCTTCCCGAGGCAAGTGGGTTAACTGACTATAAAAGTCCAGTTTAAAGTCAGTTAACTCTCTTGCCGCGGGAAGATGGTGGGCGCCGTGTGGGTGGTTGTGGCTGACCTTGCCCTTCTATCTAGGCTACCTGTGCACAGACAACGATCCAACGCCTCTCCGAACACAGAAAACGGTCAGACAATCAAAGTCAACTGGAGCTTACATTGATGTCTTTGTGCTGGCATCAGCTGACCATGGATCAAATCCCAGATGAGCCGACCAGACTATAATCTTTGGCCTGTCGGCGTCATACCCGTGATTGTGATCCACACTGGTCCGAGATCCCGAGATGACAACAAGGGCAGAAGTCGTTCGTCATATCCAACTGGTCTGCAGCTCCTTTCAGACTAGTAGTTCATATAAAATATTTCGACTTGTCCCTAAAGTTTCACTAGTATGACACGTAAGACTAGTAGTTCATGGAAAATAGATTTTGGGAGCAGTCGACGTGTCCCTGAAGATGTCAATGGTATGAGACAAAATCTAGTGGCAATGTCTGCCTCTACCAAGTAAGACTCAATTGATGGTAGTCCTCACTGACTCGCACATGCTATGGCGCCAAGGTATCGTGTGATGTACCCTGTGTGTGAGCCCATGTACCTCGATCTCGAGGGGCATATTGTGATGTACCCTGTGTGTGAGCCTATGTACCCCGATCCCAAGGGGCATGTTGTGATGTACCCTGTGTGTGAGCCTATGTACCCCGATCCCAAGGGGCATGTTGTGATGTACCCTGTGTGTGAGCCTATGTACCCCGATCCCAAGGGGCATGTTGTGATGTACCCTGTGTGTGAGCCTATGTACCCCGATCCCAAGGGGCATGTTGTGATGTACCCTGTGTGTGAGCCTATGTACCCCGATCCCAAGGGGCATGTTGTGATGTACCCTGTGTGTGAGCCTATGTACCCCGATCCCAAGGGGCATGTTGTGATGTACCCTGTGTGTGAGCCTATGTACCCCGATCCCGAGGGGCATATTGTGATGTACCGTGTGTGTGAGTCTATGTACCCCGATCCCGAGGGGCATGTTGTGATGTACCCTGTGTGTGAAGCCATGTACCCCGATCCCGAGGGGCATATTGTGATGTACCGTGTGTGTGAGCCTATGTACCCCGATCCCGAGGGGCATGTTGTGATGTACCGTGTGTGTGAGCCTATGTACCCCGATCCCGAGGGGCATGTTGTGATGTACCCTGTGTGTGAAGCCATGTACCCCGATCCCGAGGGGCATATTGTGATGTACCGTGTGTGTGAGCCTATGTACCCCGATCCCGAGGGGCATGTTGTGATGTACCCTGTGTGTGAAGCCATGTACCCATATCCCGAGGGGCATGTTGTGATGTACCCTGTGTGTGAGCCTATGTACCCCGATCCCGAGGGGCATGTTGTGATGTACCGTGTGTGTGAGCCTATGTATCCCGATCCCGAGGGGCATATTGTGATGTACCCTGTGTGTGAAGCCATGTAACCATATCCCGAGGGGCATGTTGTGATGTACCCTGTGTGTGAGCCTATGTACCCCGATCCCGAGGGGCATATTGTGATGTACCGTGTGTGTGAGCCCATGTACCCCGATCCCGAGGGGCATATTGTGATGTACCCTGTGTGTGAGCCCATGTACCCCGATCCCGAGGGGCATATTGTGATGTACCCTGTGTGTGAGCCTATGTACCCCGATCCCGAGGGGCATATTGTGATGTACCCTGTGTGTGAGTCTATGTACCCAGATCCCAAGGGGCATATTGTGATGTACCCTGTGTGTGAGTCTATGTACCCCGATCCCAAGGGGCATGTTGTGATGTACCCTGTGTGTGAGCCCATGTACCCCGATCCCGAGGGACATATTGTGATGTACCCTGTGTGTGAAGCCATGTACCCATATCCCGAGGGGCATATTGTGATGTACCCTGTGTGTGAGCCTATGTACCCCGATCCCGAGGGGCATGTTGTGATGTACCCTGTGTGTGAGCCATTGTACCCCGATCCCGAGGGGCATGTTGTGATGTACCCTGTGTGTGAGCCTATGTACCCCGATCCCGAGGGGCATGTTGTGATGTACCCTGTGTGTGAGCCCATGTACCCCGATCCCGAGGGGCATATTGTGATGTACCCTGTGTGTGAGCCCATGTACCCCGATCCCGAGCGGCATATTGTGATGTACCCTGTGTGTGAGCCTATGTACCCCGATCCCGAGGGGCATATTGTGATGTACCCTGTGTGTGAGCCTATGTACCCCGATCCCGAGGGGCATATTGTGATGTACCCTGTGTGTGAGCCCATGTACCCCGATCCCAAGGGGCATATTGTGATGTACCCTGTGTGTGAGCCCATGTACCCCGATCCCGAGGGGCATATTGTGATGTACCCTGTGTGTGAGCCTATGTACCCCGATCCCGAGGGGCATATTGTGATGTACCCTGTGTGTGAGTCTATGTACCCAGATCCCAAGGGGCATATTGTGATGTACCCTGTGTGTGAGTCTATGTACCCAGATCCCAAGGGGCATATTGTGATGTACCCTGTGTGTGAGCCCATGTACCCCGATCCCGAGGGGCATATTGTGATGTACCCTGTGTGTGAAGCCATGTACCCATATCCCGAGGGGCATATTGTGATGTACCCTGTGTGTGAGCCTATGTACCCCGATCCCGAGGGTCATGTTGTGATGTACCCTGTGTGTGAGCCTATGTACCCCGATCCCGAGGGGCATGTTGTGATGTACCCTGTGTGTGAAGCCATGTACCCATATCCCGAGGGGCATGTTGTGATGTACCCTGTGTGTGAGCCTATGTACCCCGATCCCGAGGGGCATATTGTGATGTACCCTGTGTGTGAGCCTATGTACCCCGATCCCGAGGGGCATGTTGTGATGTACCCTGTGTGTGAGCCTATGTACCTCGATCTCGAGGGGTATATCGTGTGATGTACCCTGTGTGTGAGCCTATGTACCCCGATCCCGAGGGGCATATTGTGATGTACCCTGTGTGTGAGCCTATGTACCTCGATCTCGAGGGGTATATCGTGTGATGTACCCTGTGTGTGAGCCTATGTACCCAGATCCCGAGGGGCATATTGTGATGTACCCTGTGTGTGAGCCTATGTACCCAGATCCCGAGGGGCATATTGTGATGTACCCTGTGTGTGAGCCTATGTACCCAGATCCCGAGGGGTATATCGTGTGATGTACCCTGTGTGTGAGCCTATGTACCCAGATCTCGAGGGGTATATGGTGTGATGTACCCTGTGTGTGAGCCTATGTACCTCGATCTTGAGGGGTATATGGTGTGATGTACCCTGTGTGTGAGCCTATGTACCTCGATCTCGAGGGGTATATCGTGTGATGCATGTACCCTGTGTGTGAGCCTATGTACCTAGTCAGTTCATGGGTTCATTTAGAATCTCAAAGATATGTATGGGAGATAAATATGTTACCCAAGATGTGTTCCGATTGATATCTCAGTGGATACATGTTCGGGCTACATGAAAAATATTTGCCACCTCTTTAACCAATCAGAAGGTAGTATTTTGATGTAAGGAAAGATAGACATGTTTCCACCTCCTTACATGGTATAGGGGGCCGGGGAGGGAACGCTTCCTGGAGGAGCGGGTGTGGCCCAGTCACGAGTGGCTATTGTGAAAGTTGAGATACATATTTCATATTTGCTAATAGTCTTAGCCTCAGTATTTATGCAGAAAATATTGGAATAGCAATGGTGACCCCAACATCTGTTGACAACAGACCCAGGTGAGCTACAGTTCTGCGTTACTCTGTCGTATGGTAAGAGACCGACATCAATATATTCTTACGGAAGCCTTCCTGTGATACTCATAACGTGACCAAGAAACGTAACAGGAATTTCTGCACATGACATGAGTGTTATTACTTCTAGTTTGGACTTAAAAATCCCAGTGATGCTGGATAATGCTAGGCTCGTTTTGGGATAAAGACACTCTTTGACAATCGGCCAACCTCGCACCTTTCTGAAATAGATGCTCGTGTTCAGACTAAGTCTTCGAAGGAGCATCAATCGAACTGAAATAGAACAGAACATAGCACCATTAATGACATGTGATACAAAACTTATTTGTAGTATAAGGCTGCATGTATGTATGTGGTCTGTAAATTAATCAAGTCTAGCGAGACAATCCAGTGATTGCTACTGATTCCCTGATTACATAGGTAGTAGACTCCCTTGGGGCTTCCCTCCTACTCCTAGCTGACCTGTCGTGGTACGGCTGAAGTACCCTTCAAAGAAGCGACAAACCAAACTCACAGACAGACAGGTAGATAGGTAACTCTTCTGTGGACACATCTTTAGACACACAACATAACACTGATATCTTTCGTACATATTTTATTCATACTATATTTCCAAGACATCAAACTTTTATGGATAACTTCTTTATTTAACAAAAGTTATATTTGGGACAACACTTTCTCAGTAAAGTAAGGATTCTAGATCTGTTGGGGGTTGAGTCCCATCTGGGATTCAAACCCACTCTCAGAGTGAGGCACCTATTTGACATCTAACAGTTAGCAATCTAACCCTCTCAACCACCTATGATTCCACGAAATGGAATCTGACAACTGGTAGTCTAGATCAAATTTGGATTTGGGAATTTAACCTAAGAGTGAGTGAGTGAGTTGGGTTTAACGCCGCTTTTAACATTATTCCAGTTATATCACAGCGTGTCAGCTTAATGTGGGAGGAAAGCCTAAAGTGATGCAGGTCTCAGACGTTTACCACTTCGGTGAAACCCACGAGCACGGGTATGGTGCTGACAAACCTAGAAACATAATTGGGGCGAACCGTGATTCGAACCCACAATCATAGGTTTCTGGCGTGCCCAAGGGACGCAACTCTGCACAACGAATCGCGGCGCCTTAGACGACTGGGCCACCTGTGCCCCCTTAACCCAAGAAAGTACTAGAATTTGCACTTGACTAAGAATGTGTTATTCCTAACATAACATTTGTTACTTATGACTTCTAGGATGTTGTTTAGATGCAGCCAGCAACATGCTAGCTGTATGACAACGACCTGTAAATATAGTCTGGTCCAGACAATCCAGTGGTTGACATCATGAGCATGCCCCACACAATTGTGATACAATGATGACAAGATGACTGATATATCCAACCTTAGAAAACCCATTTCATTTAGGACTAGTCCACAGGACTTTCACAAAACTAATATCCCTCGTCATCAAGTCTGTAGCAAGTCCTGGAGTAAAATCCAAGCCTGGAGAACTGTCAACGAGCTATTGCTATCAGATGTTACCAGTCTTGAATTGTCCTCGGCACAATTTAATACCCTTGAGCTAGCAGATTAATGTCGGTTTTACAAGGGCGTACAGATAATGTTGCCACAAGCTACACAAATCTCATAGACTGTAGCCAATGGCCTTTTACATGCATTTCAGTTTTATCAAAAATATTACAAAAAGCAACACAAATATATGTACAATTTCATATTGCTAGTTTACCATGAAACAAAACAATCCCATATACTCAGTGTATGTCAGTGTTTGTTTGTTTGTTGTTTAACGCCGCTCTCAGCAGTATTCCAGCTATATGACGGCGGTCTGTAAATAATCAAGTCTGGACCAGACAATCCAGTGATTGACATCATGAGCATCGACCCACGTAATTTGGATACGATGACATGCATCAACCAAGTGAGCCAGCCTGACCACCCGATCCCGTTAGTCACCTTTTACGACAAGCATAGTCGCCTTTTACGCCATGTCAGTGTGTAGGCAGTATGATGCCAATAACAGCTCGCGTCAAAGTAACAGTTGTATGATGACTAATGAAGTAAGATCAGGAATAATGAATGACAGATCAAGATTCTCCTGACTGAATACCGAAGAAACATTTCAAAAATTGGATCTCAGACAAAAATGTATATCCACTCATCCCTAGCACATAATTTCTCTCAATCAGGAGTGAGTGAGTGAGTGAGTTTGGTTTAACGCTGCTTTTAGCAATATTCCAGCAATATCACGGCGGGGGACACCAGAAATGGGCTTCACACATTGTGCCCATGTCGGGAATCGAACCCGGGTCTTCAGCGTGAGGAGCGAATGCTTTAACCACTAGGCTACCCGACCGCCCCTCACTCATGAGTATTATGTTGCTAGGTTTGTCAGCACCATACCCGTGCTCGTGGGTTTCACCGAAGTGGTAAACGTCTAAGACCTGCATTTCTTCGGGATTTCCTCCCACATTAAGCTGATATAACTGGAATACTGTTAAAAGCGGCGTTAAACCCAACTCACTCACTCACTCACTCACTCATGAGTAACGTCAATCGACCCACGCTTGTAATGGGAAGACTATTTTAAGCTGGTGTATTTGAATTGGTTCAAAACGAAGCTGCCATAGTAAATAGGTCAAAGTATTTATCCTGATAGTATGTCGACATAATACACAAGGAAGTGGACGATGAGATTCCAGTGTCTAAAGAGACGTCTAAAAAGTTGTCTGAAGTACATTTTCCTGTGAAACATATTTACTGAATTTTTTTATACAATAGTTGATAACTCAGCTCAAAAAACACACATATTAGGACACACTTTTTAAATTTCATGTTTCAAAGATTAATTACAGCTCGGTCGAAATAAAAATAAAAATAAATAGCTATGCCAATCATTTACTTATTGATATGAAAGTCATTCTGCCCTGGAGTTTAAACTGAAACTGGCTTCTTGAATCACAGATAGACTAGACCGTGATGCAGACATGGAATTATATACATGTATACATGGTCAGGAGGCATAATATAAATAGATAGTTTTAGGTTTATTTTATATCTTTTCCAGCTGTGTGATGATGGTCATAATTTCATTCAATAAACGTCATAAATGTAATGGAAATATACACTGCCGTTTTCTCATGTGTACCGACCATTCCGCCATTACCGGCTGTCGATTAAAATATACAAAACGTGTAAATAAACTTGTCCGTAATTTATTTACATGAATAAGTATACAGTTGTGAAAAACATGTCATTCTGACCGCTATGGTCATATTATTTCTTATGAACAAAGATTTTGTCTGAAAATATTTACGTGTATATGACATGGGTGCATAATCAGAATTGGCCGTCATTCGCTCGGTGTTCAAACATGGCAGAGAAAGGCCGAGAAGCGCGGTAGCCACTTTACTAATCTCTCCATATTTCATAATCCGTAGCATTGTATAAAGTATGAGTTGCACAATGTTAAAGATGATTGGGGTGATGATGGTTATAGTTTTGACTTTGTGCACTCAGTGTTTGATATCAAAATTCACAGTTTAAAAAAGGGCATTTTCTCGGGACCATATATGGTCCCCTGGCACTATGCGGGTGTAAAAAGTGAGGGACCATATATGGTCCCATGGCACCAAGAGGATTAAGCGAACAGCTTAAACAATTGTGAGCTGATGCCGCTAAACATACAATCATGTAATCCTAGTACATGAACAATGAATATTTGAATCTACAAACAGCCCACCTAATATGGTGGGATACTTTTTGTATACAAGAGACAATGGTAGCACTGTATAGATGGCACCACGTGGAAATGTAGTGGATGTGGTTCAGGTAGACCCTGTTGTAGTGTTGTTGCATAGGTTGTTACTGTAGCTGCCAAATCGGTAAGGATGGTATCTAAAAGCAAAATGAATCCCCCTTCACAATTTTGAATGAAAAACTGAAACAATTTATTGTGGCCTTACTGTGAAATACTCACACAGAAATATTGTTATATGTCTTCAGTGTTGATGTGGAGGTGTGTCAGGGGGATGTTTCTTTTGAGTGAGTGAGTATGGTTTTACGCCGCTTTTAGCAATATTCAAGCAATATCACGGCGGGGGACACCAGAAATGGGCTTCACACATTGTACCAATTTCGGGAATCACACCCGGGTCTTCGGCGTGACAAGCAAATGCTTTAACCACAAGACTACCCGACCGCACCTGTTTCATTATATGGACAATGTAGATGTAAATGTCTATAGATATATACATGTATTGAGAGGGACAGGACAGAAATACAGATGAGAAGAAAACAAAGTTATGAGTCTTTAACTGAACTCTGCACATATGACATATAGGAATGATACATCTCTGTACAAAACCATGCATTATAAGGGCTGGTAATTGTATATCAGGGTTAGTAGTGGGCCAGGAGACATTAGGGGAAGTCACCAAGAGACATCACGGTGTCTCGTGAAGAGGAAACGTCAGGGAGGGTTATCATAAACATGGACCTTTATTGATTCCGGGACTTTCTTTCATTTAATTCCAAGGATATCTTAATGAGACAAACATTTTCCAAGCTGGGGTCTGAAACACTGGATCTGACAGGCTGACAGAGAGACCACTGACAAACATTCTCCAAGCTGGGGTCTGAAACACTGGATCTGACAGGCTGACAGGAAGACCACTGACAAACATTCTCCAAGCTGGGGTCTGAATCACTGGATCTGACAGGCTGACATAGAGACCACTGACAAACATTCTCCAAGCTGGGGTCTGAAACACTGGATCTGACAGGCTGACAGAGAGACCACTGACAAACATTCTCCAAGCTGGGGTCTGAAACACTGGATCTGACAGGCTGACATAGAGACCACTAACAAACATTCTCCAAGCTGGGGTCTGAAACACTGGATCTGACAGGCTGACAGAGAGACCACTGACAAACATTCTCCAAGCTGGGGTCTGAAACACTGCATCTGACAGGCTGACATAGAGACCACTAACAAACATTCTCCAAGCTGGGGTCTGAAACACTGGATCTGACAGGCTGACAGAGAGACCACTGACAAACATTCTCCAAGCTGGGGTCTGAAACACTGCATCTGACAGGCTGACATAGACACCACTGACAAACATTCTCCAAGCTGGGGTCTGAAACACTGGATCTGACAGGCTGACAGAGAGACCACTGACAAACATTCTCCAAGCTGGGGTCTGAAACACTGGATCTGACAGGCTGACAGAGAGACCACTAACAAACATTCTCCAAGCTGGGGTCTGAATCACTGGATCTGACAGGCTGACATAGAAACCACTGACAAACATTCTCCAAGCTGGGGTCTGAAACACTGGGTCTGACAGGCTGACAGAGAGACCACTGACAAACATTCTCCAAGCTGGGGTCTGAAACACTGGATCTGACAGGCTGACAGAGAGACCACTGACAAACATTCTCCAAGCTGGGGTCTGAAACACTGGATCTGACAGGCTGACAGAGAGACCACTGACAAACATTCTCCAAGCTGGGGTCTGAATCACTGGATCTGACAGGCTGACATAGAAACCACTGACAAACATTCTCCAAGCTGGGGTCTGAAACACTGGGTCTGACAGGCTGACAGAGAGACCACTGACAAACATTCTCCAAGCTGGGGTCTGAAACACTGGATCTGACAGGCTGACAGAGAGACCACTGACAAACATTCTCCAAGCTGGGGTCTGAAACACTGGATCTGACAGGCTGACAGAGAGACCACTGACAAACATTCTCCAAGCTGGGGTCTGAAACACTGGATCTGACAGGCTGACATAGAGACCACTGACAAACATTCTCCAAGCTGGGGTCTGAAACACTGGATCTGACAGGCTGACATAGAGACCACTGACAAACATTCTCCAAGCTGGGGTCTGAAACACTGGATCTGACAGGCTGACAGAGAGACCACTGACAAACATTCTCCAAGCTGGGGTCTGAAACACTGGATCTGACAGGCTGACAGAGAGACCACTGACAAACATTCTCCAAGCTGGGGTCTGAAACACTGGATCTGACAGGCTGACAGGGAGACCACTGACAAACATTCTCCAAGCTGGGGTCTGAAACACTGGATCTGACAGGCTGACAGAGAGACCACTGACAAACATTCTCCAAGCTGGGGTCTGAAACACTGGGTCTGACAGGCTGACAGAGAGACCACTGACAAACATTCTCCAAGCTGGGGTCTGAAACACTGGATCTGACAGGCTGACAGAGAGACCACTGACAAACATTCTCCAAGCTGGGGTCTGAAACACTGGATCTGACAGGCTGACAGAGAGACCACTGACAAACATTCTCCAAGCTGGGGTCTGAAACACTGGATCTGACAGGCTGACATAGAGACCACTGACAAACATTCTCCAAGCTGGGGTCTGAAACACTGGATCTGACAGGCTGACAGAGAGACCACTGACAAACATTTTCCAAGCTGGGGTCTGAAACACTGGATCTGACAGGCTGACAGAGAGACCACTGAACTTACTTCAAGGGGCTAAGGGTCAGGCAAGAAGTTGGGAAGGTTTGCAAGAAATGGACGAATCTTTGGAGCGGATTAGTCATGCATTTACCAATACCGGGTTTTACTGGTGCAAAACTGTGCATGAATGGACACAAATGGACACTGTGAGTACCAAGGGAACGGAACACATGATTGTGGACCCCATGTGTGCATAATAACAGAGAGTCCCCCGGACTCAACAATAGCTCGGTCCCCATCCCCATTCCACTTAACAGTGACAAAATGTATAGGATAGATGCTACACCTTGACAAAACAGACACCGAAGAGCTGCCAGCAGCTTTTTTAGACAGAGACAGGAGGTGGAGATGAGAGAATGTGTCTATTTGAATCTTCCCAATTCCATTCAAAATCAACAGTGGGAGAGTTAGTACAGTATGTAATATGAAAAAACACATTGATATAAATTAATGTAAAATACATAAAATACATGGCACCAAAACAGATCTGAATGTTCCATAAAGTTGATAAAATAAATATAGATGGTTTCAAACATATTTGATAAAAATATCAGTTACATTGTCTTAAAACACATTTCCACTAAAATAACAATTCTATACAGGTCATAACAAGTAACAATATCTGGTGTGGAGCAAGATGTGAGGTTTACAATCTACACCCCATAGATGACAGATGGGGTAGTGGTTTTCCCAATGAAGTGAGGAACACATTGTTTCTCCCGTGGACTTGAAAAATAGATAGACAATAGACATGACAAAATGTACATACCGGTATTGACAAAACAGACACCTAGTAGCTGCCACTAAGCTTATGAGACGGAGGTGTGTGTCTTCACCAAATAGATGATCTCCCAGTCGCGCACACTCTTCCGACAGATGGGGCTGAGATGTGTGTCTTCACCAAATAGATGATCTCCCAGTCGCGCACACTCTTCCGACAGATGGGGCATGTTTTTCTGTTGAATTTGGAGCATGCTGAGGCTCTTCTAGACTCAAACAATGACAGACAATAGAAACAACAAAATGTACACAAGGATAAAACAGACAGCTAACAGCTGCCACTAAGCATATGAGTCTACGCAACAAAGATGACCTCCCAGTCATGCACACTGCTCCGACAGATTGGGCTGAGGTGTGTGTCTACGCCACATAGATGACCTCCCAGTCACGCACACTGCTCCGACAGATGGGGCTGAGGTGAGTGTCTACGCCACATAGATGACCTCCCAGTCACGCACACTGTTCCGACAGATGGGGCATGTCTTCCCGATGAAGTGGGGGGCACACTGAGTGCCACAGCACACGTGTCGACACGGGCGGAACAGACACTGGGCCTCCTCCTCCAGACACACCTTACACCGGGCGTAGGCGGGGTCAGCGGGGACAGCCGGGGCGGGGACAGCAGCAGCAGCAGCAGCATTGTTGACAGGGTCGTTGTTCTGTATGTTGTTAGCTGCAGAACAAACAAGAAGGAGGTTAATGAAATACAGAGATCGAGATTGATCAGATTTTCATGGCCAAGAATCCTGGAGTGTCATATTTTATTCTGATTATAAGGTCTAGGGAAAGCCTGTCTATGCATGGATCAACAACGAGGCAGTCATGGCAGGATTAGAAGGAAAATGTTTTTCAGCAGAGTGACCTCGATGACAAGGTCATGACTTGTGCAAAAAGGACAGAGGACATCGGAACACTTTGTGTCTTTGAACTACAGAACTACAAGCTCGTACTGGCCTCCGTGTACGTCAAGTATTGTTACTTCACTCCAGCAGTACTACACTGAAAGCAAGCTGACATCATATTTTTTTTTATTTGACTTTACAAATATGTACAAATATCCAGGCCACAGAGGCTTTAAATAGATAATTTATTTTAATGAAATTATTTCCATGTATTTCTAAAACATCAGCTCTGAGAGTTTGGGTAACTAACTGTGCCGTGGAACATTAACATGGGTGATAAATCAGGTCCCCAATAAGAAAATACAGTCAAGCAGAAAATCAGCACTGCACCTTTAATTTCGGGAAATAATTTTTAAATGCCTTCCTCTCTTTTACTACTTTCTGAATAAATGCAGGAGTGATACATCATAAAGTTTCCATTATTCATTCCAGTACAAGAGGGAAGCGAGGCTCACGACATTAGATATCTTAAATCAAGTCATCCACTTTGTTTGTCTGCTGTCTTCTTTTGTCTGACAATATACAGTTTACTTTTTCATATAATGGATAGTGTTATTGAGGCGATAAACTAATCCAATAAATGTGGTATCACAATCCAATAACTATGACGGACAAATGACTTGATCTTAGCTCCTCATTAATATACACATATGCCTTGTACAGCTGGTTCAAAAAAAGAAAAGATATAATATATAAAATGACTCCCACCTTACTGGTACCGGTACATTTTTGAAACATTTGGATGCAAATTTGATAATTATTTCCCTGTGGCCTACAACAGTGTGACTCCCTACCTTGCAGGAGCTGCCTCAGTCTCTCCAGCTCCTCCGCCTGTCTCCTCATCTCCTCGTCCTTCCGCCTGTTCTCCTCGGCCTGCCTCCTCATTTCCACAGCCAGACTGTTCAGCTCCCTCTGTTTCCTGTCCAGCTCCTCTCCCTGACTCCCGATGATGTTGTCCTTGTGTCCCAGCTGGTGGTCCTTGTCCTGCAGCTGGTGGTCCTTGTCCTGCACCACCTGTCCCTGTCTCTGGATGACCTGGGCCTGTGCCTGCAGTCTGGCAGTCAGTGCCTGCATCTCACACCGCCGCTGTGCCTGCTCCCGACTCAGCTCTGTGTGGTACTCCTCATGGGTGCGCTCCATCTCCTCATCCTTCCTCACCAGCAGCTGGTCCTTCTGCTGGATCTCCTCGCTCTGTCTGATGAGACTCAGGGCATTGGTGTGGGTTGACTCCATCAGCCTCTGCAGCTGGGAGAAGTTTGCGTCGGAGGCTCGCAGAGTGCCTTTGAGCAGCGCCTCGTTAGGGTAGAACCCACCTGTCATGGAGATGGTAGATGTGAAGATGCAGTGAGGGGACCTCATAACTAAGAGACATGGTTTTTAATTTTTTGGTTAACAGATTCAACCCACCAATACAAAGGCTGTGGCAATTAAAACAGACATAGTTTGACTGCAGTCAAGCCACTAGTCTGAAGTCCCAGTCCAGTCTAATCTGGTAAAATGTCTTTCAATCTAGTAAGATCAGCTGATAATTATCCAATCGGTTAGAAACAAATCTACTGTAAAAGGTTGGATTTGATACTCAAAAGCTCTGTGCACAGACTGTAAATGTATTTATATTTGCCTGGCTCCTCCATCTGTGATGAGTTAGAAAAACAAAGAGACACATCTACAAAGAATTTTAAAAAGTCAAGTAATAAACTGTAACTTTTTAAATGATATTGTCTACAACCACTGCAAAGACAACAAATGTCCTCAGAAGTACAAACTATACTGCACATCAAGAAATAAGGATACATGTATCTTTTTTCCCACAAATACAACCAGGTAAATATATATTCTAGACAGCATAAATTTATTTTTATTCTGACCGACCCAAAATTCAATAAACCAATAAAATAGTGTGGCCTCAAACTTGAGAATGTCTTGTAGGCTAGTTTGGGAACAGTGTAAAAGACTTGCAGATTAAACTCTCAGTCTCATTCAGGCTTAAAACAATAAAAGTATTGGTTCTCAGGCAATGACTGGAAAATGTAGTGCGGGCGGCAGTGGTGTTTTTTTCCTAGTTCCATCTAGTATGTAACCAAACAAACAGTTGTGTACCATCAACCTGGGAAAGGGCCTCCCTACATAAACAAGCATACAAACTCTTCTTGCCACTATGACCATAACATGAGATACACAGTATAGCAGTGTGCATATGAAGGGAAGTAACTGTGTGCTGTATGGATCGTATTGTTTTTAAGTATTAGGATTTGTTTGAAAATGGAAATAAAACTGAAACATGTGTAGGACTTTATGATGATGCGGGCGGTGCCTGAGAACCAAGATTATTATTCTTTTCAACCTTAGTAAAACAAAACACATTAAAGGGAGATAATATTAAAAACATATTCAAGGGAGATAATCTCATTTTTTAAATGTTATTTAGATCATGTAGCAGAAAATGAATGTTTGTTTGTTTGTTGCTTAACGCCGCACTCAGCAATATTCCAGCTATATGACGGCAGTCTGTAAATAATCGAGTCTGGACCAGACAATCCAGTGATTGACATCATGAGCATCGATCCACGCAATTAGGATACGATGACATGCATCAACCAAGTCAGCGAGCCTGACCACCCGATCCCGTTAGTCCTCTCTTACGACAATGAATGACTCTGATAAGAAGAGTGAAGGCTTTGCTTTAATCTACAGGCAGGATGACCAGTGACCTCAACATGAGCACAATACACTCACGGGACAAGATAAAGAATTTGAGAACAGCTTGTCGGATTTGCTGTACATCATACTGACATGCCAAGGCTGCCTTGATGGCCGCCATGTTCAGACTCGGGCGAAGTGGGGAGGGCGTGGCTGGGCTGCCAGGGGTGCCGCACTGGTCTGTGAAAAAAATGATATGTTCATTAAACATGGTAAAATATTATTTTATAGAACTCAGTTGAACAACATGACTTTTGTTCTTTCCATAGAAACTTGAATTTCATAGATCTACAGACTTGTACACTCATAACTGAATCCTACTCATATTTCCTTTGATTGTTGATATACATATGTTGATATTCCTGATTTTCTATCCAAAGCCTCTAATAAACACACAAAGACTGGGTTATCCACCAGAAAAAGACGTCTGAAGAAAATTAATTTGTGATAGTGGTGTCAAGTGACAACGTGATACACCTACATGTTTTGACATTGACAGTTCTTCATGGTTTATGTGTGTGTGTGAGTTGCTTTTAACAGTATTCCAGTTACATCACGGCGTGTCAGCTTAGTGTGGGAGGAAAGCCCTAAGTGATGCAGGTCAGACGTTTACCACTCAGGTGAAACCCACAAGTGTATATGGTACTGACAAACCTAGAAACGTAATCGGGGCCAACCCACAGTCATAGGTTTCTGGCGTGCCCAAGGGATGCAACTCTGGACAGTGAATTGCGGTGCCATAGGCGAGTGGGCCACCCGTGCCCCCTCATGGGTTAGGTATGCACTACTGAGGAATGTAGTGTGGGCAATACCTGTGAAAGGTTGACAATAATGTTATGATTCAACACTTAATTCATTCAGTATCAATTTTCCAAAAGTAATATGTATGAAACCTGATGATTATTTGAACTAGCTTTTCCTTAAGGGCGCACATCGCAAATCATCGCATCAAAACTGCTTGCACAAAACTATCAGAGTGAGCCTACATTAGTCTGTATTGACAGTGAAACGCCTGGGTTGCTCACAATAACCTCTTGTCAGTCTGAGGTAGGCTTATCATGAAACCCAAAAAATTGGCTTTTAATCTCTTTTTAAAAAGTAATATTTATAAAAAAAACTCCAAGTGAGTCAAACACAAACTGGTCAATAAGCAACAATTGCTTGCAGCCCGGCTGAACGGAACATGGAGAATTTTACCCAAAACAAGGTAAATTAGATACAACAATGTGTATTCTATCCATACCCAAGTACTGCGATATGTAGCCTATCATGTGGTTGGCGCACACGGACATAATAAAATTTGCCTTAATACACGTAATACATCGAGTCAATATTTCTGATTATTGCAGTACACAGCAGACATTGTCCATCACCCACCTTCAGCTGTGTCGCTCTCTGTCAGAGCCTGTGAAAGAGAACAAAGATATTACAGGTCATGATATACAATGTAAGAAGTTATTTTCAGATTGAACACATTCTTGGGTTTGGCCTCAACTAGATACCGACTATGCTGATGAATGGGTGGACATAACACTAATATGCAACACTACCTAATTAAGTCTATAAAGCTGGGACAAAGAGTGTCACAGTTCCAGTCTGAGTGCTGGGTTATTTATTTTTTATTTTGATGTCATATTTGGAGTCATTTCAATCAAAGCATAGTGTCTTGTTCGAGTGACAAGGTACGGCACTTTATGTGAATAACACGGTGTCGGAACATACTTTATACTTACTATCAAGATCATTTGTCAGTGGATGATACAATTAGTAGGATTCTATATTTTCATACTGAAAGTTGAAATACGAGTTATACCTATTGGCTAAAGAAGTCATCATTTTAATATCAGTGAGTGGTGTTTGGGTTTGTTGTCGAAACTTAAATTAAAGTCATACCTTAGAAATCTAACATATTTAACATTTTGCTCTGAAATATTTCAAACACCATTACATAATAATGTATAAACTGCACTTAGTATTATCAAGGAAGTACTGACATTATTGGTGTGAGGGTTCCCAGAAATATGTCTTAAAGGTGGGTAGATAGACAGCTGCAGGTGGAGCATATAAACAGCTGCAGTATATAGACTATATACATAGAAACTATACACCCATGTTTGATGGTGCCTAAAGAAAGTATACACCCTTGTTTGATGGTGCCTAAAGAAAGTATACACCCATGTTTGATGGTGACTAAAGAAAGTATACACCCATGTTTGATGGTGACTAAAGAAACTATACACCCATGTTTGATGGTGCCTAAAGAAAGTATACACCCATGTTTGATGGTGACTAAAGAAAGTATACACCCATGTTTGATGGTGCCTAAAGAAAGTATACACCCATGTTTGATGGTGACTAAAGAAAGTATACACTCATGTTTGATGGTGCCTAAAGAAAGTATACACCCATGTTTGATGGTGCCTAAAGAAAGTATACACCCTTGTTTGATGGTGATTTAAGAAAGTATACACCCTTGTTTGATGGTGCCTAAAGAAAGTATACACCCATGTTTGATGGTGCCTTAAGAAAGTATACACCCATGTTTGATGGTTCCTTAAGAAAGTATACACCCATGTTTGATGGTGCCTAAAGAAAGTATACACCCTTGTTTGATGGTGCCTAAAGAAAGTATACACCCATGTTTGATGGTGACTAAAGAAAGTATACACCCATGTTTGATGGTGCCTTAAGAAAGTATACACCCATGTTTTATGGTGCCTAAAAAAGTATACACCCATGTTTGATGGTGACTAAAGAAACTATACACCCATGTTTGATGGTGCCTAAAGAAAGTATACACCCATGTTTGATGGTGACTAAAGAAAGTATACACCCATGTTTGATGGTGCCTAAAGAAAGTATACACCCATGTTTGATGGTGACTAAAGAAAGTATACACTCATGTTTGATGGTGACTAAAGAAACTATACACCCATGTTTGATGGTGCCTAAAGAAAGTATACACCCTTGTTTGATGGTGATTTAAGAAAGTATACACCCTTGTTTGATGGTGCCTAAAGAAAGTATACACCCTTGTTTGATGGTGCCTAAAGAAAGTATACACCCTTGTTTGATGGTGCCTAAAGAAAGTATACACCCTTGATTGATGGTGACTAAAGAAAGTATACACTCATGTTTGATGGTGCCTAAAGAAACTATACACCCATGTTTGATGGTGACTAAAGAAAGTATACACCCATGTTTGATGGTGCCTAAAGAAACTATACACCCATGTTTGATGGTGACTAAAGAAAGTATACACTCATGTTTGATGGTGACTAAAGAAACTATACACCCATGTTTGATGGTGCCTAAAGAAAGTATACACCCTTGTTTGATGGTGATTTAAGAAAGTATACACCCTTGTTTGATGGTGCCTAAAGAAAGTATACACCCTTGTTTGATGGTGCCTAAAGAAAGTATACACCCTTGTTTGATGGTGCCTAAAGAAAGTATACACCCTTGTTTGATGGTGACTAAAGAAAGTATACACTCATGTTTGATGGTGCCTAAAGAAACTATACACCCATGTTTGATGGTGCCTAAAGAAAGTATACACCCTTGTTTGATGGTGCCTAAAGAAAGTATACACCCATGTTTGATGGTGACTAAAGAAAGTATACACCCATGTTTGATGGTGCCTAAAGAAACTATACACCTATGTTTGATGGTGCCTAAAGAAACTATACACCCATGTTTGATGGTGCCTAAAGAAACTATACACCCATGTTTGATGGTGCCTAAAGACACTATACACCCATGTTTGATGGTGCCTAAAGAAAGTATACACCCATGTTTGATGGTGCCTAAAGAAACTATACACCCATGTTTGATGGTGCCTAAAGAAGCTATACACCCATGTATGATGGTGCGTAAAGAAACTATACACCCATGTTTGATGGTGCCTAAAGAAAGTATACACCAATGTTTGATGGTGACTAAAGAATGTATACACCCAAGTTTGATGGTGCCTAAAGAAAGTATACACCCATGTTTGATGGTGACTAAAGAAACTATACACCCATGTTTGATGGTGCCTAAAGAAAGAATACACCAATGTTTGATGGTGCCTAAAGAAACTATACACCCATGTTTGATGGTGCCTAAAGAAAGTATACACCCATGTTTGATGGTGCCTAAAGAAAGTATACACCCATGTTTGATGGTGCCTAAAGAAAGTATACACCCATGTTTGATGGTGACTAAAGAAACTATACACCCATGTTTGATGGTGCCTAAAGAAAGTATACACCCATGTTTGATGGTGACTAAAGAAAGTATGCACCCATGTTTGATGGTGCCTAAAGAAAGTATACAGCCATGTTTGATGGTGCCTAAAGAAAGTATACACCAATGTTTGATGGTGACTAAAGAAACTATACACCCATGTTTGATGGTGCCTAAAGAAAGTATACACCAATGTTTGATGGTGCCTAAAGAAAGTATACACCAATGTTTGATGGTGCCTAAAGAAACTATACACCCATGTTTGATGGTGCCTAAAGAAACTATACACCCATGTTACATGGCGCCTAAGGAAACTATACACCCATGTTTGATTGTGCCTAAAGAAACTATACACCCATGTTTGATGGTGCCTAAAGAAAGTATATACCCTTGTTTGATGGTGCCTAAAGAAACTATACACCCATGTTTGATGGTGACTAAAGAAAGTATACACCTTTGTTTGATGGTGCCCAAAGAAAGTATACACCCTTGTTTGATGGTGACTAAAGAAAGTATACACCCTTGTTTGATGGCGCCTAAAGAAAGTATACACTCATGTTTTATGGTGCCTAAAGAAACTATACACCCATGTTTGATGGTGCCTAAAGAAACTATACACCCATGTTTGATGGTGCCTAAAGAAACTATACACCCATGTTTGATGGTGCCTAAAGAAACTATACACCCATGTTTGATGGTGACTAAAGAAAGTATACACCCATGTATGATGGTGCCTAAAGAAACTATACACCCTTGGTTGATGGTGCCTAAAGAAAGTATACACCCATGTTTGATGGTGACTAAAGAAAGTATACACCCATGTTTGATGGTGCCTAAAGAAAGTATACACCCATGTTTGATGGTGACTAAAGAAACTATACACCCATGTTTGATGGTGCCTAAAGAAAGTACACACCAATGTTTGATGGTGCCTAAAGAAAGTATACACCCATGTTTGATGGTGACTAAAGAAACTATACACCCATGTTTGATGGTGCCTAAAGAAAGTATACACCAATGTTTGATGGTGCCTAAAGAAAGTATACACCCATGTTTGATGGTGCCTTAAGAAACTATACACCCATGTTTGATGGTGCCTAAAGAAAGTATATACCCATGTTTGATGGTGCCTAAAGAAAGTATACACCAATGTTTGATGGTGCCTAAAGAAACTATACACCCATGTTTGATGGTGATTTAAGAAAGTATACACCTTGCTTGATGGTGCCTAAAGAAAGTATACACCCATGTTTGATGGTGCCTAAAGAAACTATACTCCCATGTTTGATGGTGATTTAAGAAAGTATACACCCATGTTTGATGGTGCCTAAAGAAACTATACAACCATGTTACATGGTGCCTAAAGAAAGTATACACCCTTGTTTGATGGTGCCTAAAGAAAGTATACACCAATGTTTGATGGTGCCTAAAGAAACTATACACCCAAGTTTGATGGTGATTTAAGAAAGTATACACCTTGCTTGATGGTGCCTAAAGAAACTATACACCCATGTTTGATGGTGATTTAAGAAAGTATACACCTTGCTTGATGGTGCCTAAAGAAAGTATACACCAATGTTTGATGGTGCCTAAAGAAACTATACACCCAAGTTTGATGGTGATTTAAGAAAGTATACATCCATGTTTGATAGTGCCTAAAGAAACTATACACCCATGTTTGATGGTGCCTAAAGAAACTATACTCCCATGTTTGATGGTGATTTAAGAAAGTATACACCCATGTTTGATGGTGCCTAAAGAAACTATACAACCATGTTACATGGTGCCTAAAGAAAGTATACACCCTTGTTTGATGGTGCCTAAAGAAAGTATACACCAATGTTTGATGGTGCCTAAAGAAACTATACACCCAAGTTTGATGGTGATTTAAGAAAGTATACACCTTGCTTGATGGTGCCTAAAGAAACTATACACCCATGTTTGATGGTGATTTAAGAAAGTATACACCTTGCTTGATGGTGCCTAAAGAAAGTATACACCCATGTTTGATGGTGATTTAAGAAACTATACTCCCATGTTTGATGGTGATTTAAGAAAGTATACACCCATGTTTGATAGTGCCTAAAGAAACTATACATCCATGTTTGATGGTGCCTAAAGAAAGTATACTCCCATGTTTGATGGTGATTTAAGAAAGTATACACTCATGTTTGATGG